GTGTGTGTGTGTGTGTGTGTGTGTGTGTGTGTGTGTGTCTGTTGGCTGGCTGGTTGCTCATATCAGAGGAAGTCATCCTAGAATTGGATAGTAGGAAATTGAAGTGTGTGTGTGCATGCTTGGATGCATCAAAGTCTGTCTGTGTCAAACCACAGGCAACGGGGTCATGCGAGGTCACGCCCGGGTCACAGCCTCTCTGGCTTGAGGCGCTTTCACCTCTGAATGCCTGATTGATCCGCTCACATCAAACGGTATGTGTGTGTGTGTTGCTCATGAAACGGATTAGGCCCAATGTTCTTAACCGGTTTAGAGCAAACAAGGCTGTGATCACAACGTTTCAACAATAGAAATAGCAGGACTTCTCCCAGCTGTTTACTAATTCTCTCACAGTTCATCTGCCTAGTTGAATAAAGAATAAGAATGAAGAGTACGGGATTTGTTTATGACTTTATTGTATTTAAAGTTAAAATCAACAACTCTCATATTCTGTCCCTTTCTGCTCCAACAGGAAGAAGGAGTACATGTCGCGGCGTATGTCAGAGATGGACCGGCTGCTGAGCGAGCGCCACCTCTTCCACGGCACCTCGGCCGACGTGGTGGAGGGCATCTGCAAGCACAACTTCGACCCCCGAGTCTGCGGCAAACACGCCACCATGTTTGGCCAGGGCTCCTACTTTGCCCGCAAGGCAGTCTACTCCCACAACTTCTCCAAGCGCTCGCCCAAAGGAGTCCACTGCATGTTCCTGGCCAAAGTCCTCACTGGCAGGTGTGTGTGGGCGCAGTAGTTAACAAGTTGATATGGGAAACATTTTTGTCTTTGGTTATGGATGGGATTTTTCATGTCTCGTGTTGCAAGTTCATCACTGCAAAAAAAAAACACACTGCAAAAAATGCCTTATTAGGGGTTGGTGATATGGATTACATGTTTTATTGTAGTATTTGTCATTTTATATTACAATATTGATGTAAATTGTAATATAGTAACATTTTTTAACGTTCCATTATAGATAAAAAAAAAAACAGTGAATTTAATACAGTGAATGAAATATTTTTCTAGATCATCGCACTTCATCACAAAGATGCTAAATCCTATTTATTTAATTGATTTACAACATTGCCAGCAATAACATAATGCAACCGGAGATATTAAAGGGATAGTTTCCTCTATATAAACAAGTCTCACATCTCTCAATGTGATATTGAGCCTCCAGATTTCTCAATATTAGTGGAAACATATTTAATTCTTCTTTTTGTCAGTGGTATGTTTTAGTTAGGACATCCTGCTTTGGTTAGAAGTTAGGGCTTCATGTTCCCAGTTTTATTTGGGTTCCATCTTTTACACATGAGCTGTTGTTCCCTCCAGCACATACCTCTGCATAAACAGCACTCTCTGATGCTATCACTATCTCGCTCTCAGTGCTTTCAAAAATATATTTACAAAACATATCCGCATTAATTTGGATCATGGAAATCCCGAGGTTCTTTTCCATAAGCCATCATTTAGTCATGCTTTGCATCATGTGACTCCCATTCCCTGACAATGCAAGTCAAATCTAGAGCCACACATGTAAAATGGCTGATTTGGCTGAAGCCATCATACATCACTAGTTTTGTTATGGCACAGCAGACGGTCTGCAGTGAGGATGGTGTGGAAACACACTACACGTACCCCAATGTGTTCAACGTGTTCCACGCCACAGACGGGGACATTGCTTCCAGACCAGACCAGGGATATAGACCAATAAAGAAGCTATCTGTACAGTGTGGTTAACTCTCCTGTCTGAAGCCGTATCTGGCACATGCGCTGTGCAACGTCTCTACCCATCCCCTTTGTCTGTAGCTGAAGATGTTCTCATTTTAATATGTTTTATTTATGACCCCAGAGGAAGTGGAACAAACACTGATGGATTACAGGTCTTTAGAATTTGACATTAATATTTGAGAGAGGAAAGACACTGGTTACAATGCACTTTCATTTCATATACTTGCAATACATACATTTCATGCATAAACAGCATATGCTAATGTTATTAAAGGTGCCCTAAAACGCACAGAGGAGCAGCAGTCTTGTTGTTATAGTCTTCTTTGAAATTGTAAATTCTTCTTCTGTAACTCCAGACTTGCAGAACTGGATTAAAATCTGTTGGATAATGCAAATATAAAGACCGTTGCTTTCCAGTTTACACTCCGTTTAACTATGTGTAGTCCAGACCACATTACTAACCTTGTCTCTGTTCTATTTATTATATTAACAGGTTTACTGTAGGAAATCCCTCCATGCGGCGACCTCCACCCATCAACCTCCGTGACCCCTCCAGTGACCTTTATGACTCCTGTGTGGACAACTGGGTGGACCCCCAGATCTATGTCATCTTCAACGATGACCAGAGCTACCCCTACTTTATCATTCACTACGAGGAGGTACCCAGCACTGTCGCCGTTTGAGCCCTGGACCAGACCTGGGTCTGCCGGTATTTGCAAACTCGTAGCTTGTTTTAGTCTGTGAAGGTGCCAGATGTGTGGAGTTTGCCACTTAAGGTGAAAAAAGGAACAGTTTAGGCCAATAACGAGCTGAAATCTAGACTCACTTTGCCAGACTAAACTTCACCCATCTGCTGCTCCGAACAGCTTAAAACAGAGATGTTTGCAAATACTAAATGATTTAAGTCTGCAGTCGGCTGGATCCAACCAGACTGGACCGCAGCAAAGAACAGACTGGTCTAGACCGGATTAAACTGGACAAAACTGGACCAGCAAAGGACACCTGTCTCATCCAGTGTTCAGAGGTGGATGACAACTGACATCAACAGCTGCGACTACAACTGACTTGACTGGACTCGTATACCACGCTTTGTTATCTAGTAGGATCAGGAGCCTAGTGATGATCACAACAGGATTTTATCTACCTTATTGATCTGGAGCAGATGCAGGAGAAACCAAACCGAGTCCTCTTATCGTTTTGACTTAGTCATATGGCTGTACATGGACTCAGTTCCACACCAGGACAAATGCTGCGGTAGACCGTTAGCGTCCTGCCAGTACTTTGAATGACCAACTGGCCGTATTTTGTTCTGAGGAAGCAGCAACCAACCAATCAGACACTTCCATAGAGAAACCATGGCGACACTGACCCCCGTCATTCTCTTACAAAAATCATCGTGTTTACCCAGCCTCCGGCCCTAATAGGGTTTTTTGTTTTTTTTTTTCAAGTTTTTGTGCTGCGTGTTTGAATCTTTTAATTTAGTGCAAATGAATCTTGTGGCCTCTTCAAACAGACAAATGACGTGAGTTTCAGCGGGACTTTTACGAATGGACATCCACAGAAAACCTCCCGGCAGAGGTTTCACATGAAGCCAGTGCTGTGCCCGGTTGGCGTTTTTGCCTTTGCGCCCACCACTTTAGTTCCTTGCGGGGGGATTGCAGCGTGTACAGTTTCATGCTGAGACTCGGCGGCGCTGTAGCGTTTCGTCAACAAATCCCCCCCCCCCCCCCGAAACTCATCTCTCTTGGACCGCTCTCTCTCTCTCTGAGAGACAGTAGACATGTTTTAATGAGACAAACTGTACAGACGTTCTCTTTGTTTATATTTGAACTGTGTGCCTTTTGTTCATAAACAAATTTATTTATGTTAGTTTAATGTAACATTGATTAAATAAAGAATCTAAAAGAAAAAAAAAGACCAATTGGTGAACTTGTGCTTTATTTAAATCAGTTATGAAGCTGTAACCTCCACATTCCTGTAAACATTAGACCAATCGGTACTCTCTCAAGGTGTTGTCTGTAGAGGGAGCAGAAGGAGACTTCATTCACTACAAACGTATTTAGAGAATGCAGAAATATATCTATTGTGATCCCAGTTGTTTCTGAAAAGAGTGAGATGAGAAGAGTGATACAATTACCAAACCGCTGGTCTCAATATGAGCTACGTGATGTTTTACGGTCAGCGGTTTTGAGGCGTTCATCTGATTATTTGTTCTCTGGGTCTGGGTCCAGTGGTATTAAAGGCAGAAAAGAATTTGCCATGCTCAGCCCTCCCTCTGTCTGCCACCTCCCCAGGCTCTCCTTCCCCCACATCCCCAGCCCAAGTGTATTATTTGAGCGCCATGTCTAATGCGGTCCAGAGAGGAGGCTGGCGGAGGTAGCTGTCTATCCCAGCCCAGAGACGGCACACATGGGGCTCAGCAGGAGAACACAACCCCCCGCCCATCCTCCTCTTCCTCCTCCTCTTCCTCCTCAGCTCATTCTCTTCTGTATCTTTCACCTCATCTCTTGTCTTTCTGTCACTAATCCTTTTATCTGACCTTCCTTTCTCTCAATCTGGCTTGTTCTCATTTGCAATTTTATTTTGTTTCCAGAGACAAAGCCACCATTGTGAACATCAATGAAATCAGGTCCTACTAATTTATTCAAATTTTTGAATTATTAATTATTTTGTGAATTTGGGCATTAATGGAATTGTTCCACATTAGCTTAGAAGACTGGAAACGGGGGACACAGCCAGCTCTCTCAAAAAGTAACTCAATCTGATAAATCTCTCGATACGTCATATATATCTTGTTTCTTTAAATTGTGCAATAACCGAAGTGTATAAAAAAACAATTTGTGGTTTTAGGGGGCTGTGTGCAGAACTATTTTTTGTTAGACTCATTGACTTCCTGGAATCTCTGCTAGGTCTCTCAAAAAAAGTTCCAACTCATAACCCAAACTATTCCTTTAATGTGTACATGGTGTTCAGTTTCTCAGCGTATTAATCGATATGTTTAAATTGGATTACTTTTAGACCAATAAAATGATAAAATAAATGCATGTAGAAGGCTTAATGTAACCCTAACCCCAAAACAAACAAGATATGGATAAAACCAAATAATACAAAATACAAAACTAAATCTTTTTTGTTATATCTATTATCTATTATCTGAGAGTGGTGGGGTGTGTGTTGGGGGATTATATCTAAAATCCTGGCTTCGGCCCTGTTTATTTCAAAGTCATACTTGTTGACCCTCGTGACAACAATTGTGAGCAATAAAATGGAAAAATTGATCTAAATTATATAAATTTCACATGAAAAGTACATTTTAAACACAATGCAGCATCATAGTGATTGACAGCCTATATATGTAAGTGTCTATGTTATCTTTATCTCGGACTCCTCATCCATCAGCACATTTTTTTGTGCGACCCTTTACTCCCATTTCCTTCCTTTCTCTGCAAGTGACTCCCGTTGGTTGCCCCCTCAGCCCCGCTCTCTGCCCGGCCTTTGGGTCACCGTGTCGTGTAAGACTGCCGTGCTGAGCTTCGCTTTTTGGCAGAGGAACGAGGGAGATAGAGAGAATGGAAGGGGGGGGGGATTGGATTGCGATAGAGAGAGGGAGGGAGGGAGGAGGAGTTATTTTGCTCTCTTCATGCCTCCTCGTTGAGCTGCGTGCCTGTCTGCTCTTCTCGTGTGCATGCAAGATCGCGCAGGTTGCCCTCTATTTGCCCCCATCTCGCTCTATCTCCCGTCTCTCTTCCTTGCCTAGCTTCCTCCTCTTAATCTCTCTTACAGCTTTTCGTTCTCTTCCCACTTTTTTCAATCTCTTTTCCCAACCTGTCCAAACCAAGCTCTCATCCGCTCTTAGCAGTTTAAAATCCTTTTGCCCTCAATGATTCAAGCCCCCCCTCCCCCCCCCCCCACTCTCTCTGTCTCTCTGTGAGTCATGCAGCGGGCATTGGGTAGGTTTGTTTGCCTGACTGCCCTTCAGGAATTGCTGCTGGCACACAGAGAGCACTACTTTGTAGACCTGCTGGCTGGGGTTAGAAGAGGAGGAGGAAAAGCAGGAGAAGATGTTTAGGGAGGATGAGAGGAGATAGGAGATGAGAGAAACAACGGAAAGGAGAAGAAGAAGAGGGACAGAGGAGGGATGAGGTTGCAGAAAGAAGGACTCTGAGTGAGTGAGAGAGAGAGAGAGATAAAGGCATGCGGAGAGTGAAGTATAGCCTTCATAAGAGCAACGACAGAACTTTGAATTATTCAAAGCAGTCAGGGTTATTGTGTGTGTGTGTGTGTGTGTGTGTGTGTGTGTACGTGTGTGTGTTTACGTCTGACGTTGCGCCATCTAAAGTAAGACTGAAGGGAGACCAGGCTTCTAAAACAGATTCAAAATCATTTTGGATGCATTCATAATTCATTTGGGTCTCATTGTGCATTAAGTTCACATGTGCATCTAGACAGACACACACGCACACGCGCGCGCGCACACACACACACACACACACACACACACACATGAGTTTGAATCAAGTTTATTAAACTTTCCAATCTAAATTATTCAGTGTGTAAAAAGGGGGTTTCCTTTGTAGAGAAATGAGACAGTTAAATACCCCGACACTAATTTGTAACATGCAGTTTTTCAATGATTGAGCGTGTGAAAAATTGCCTTTGCTGATTTATTTTTTGTTTTTTCAACTCACGAGTTGTACTCGTCTTGTAGAGTTATTTTCACATCTAATTCGGGATGAAACACAGCAGAATATTACTTTTGTTAATCTGCTGCATACTGAGTATGCAGCAGGTACAACTATGTGGTGACTGTGTTTTCCCCACAACACACTTTTGAGAACTTTTTTGTAATCTGCTCTGGTGTACTTTTTATAATATGATGCGATCTTTTCTGTAGTTTTAAACACTTCTCTCTGCTGCTCTCGTCTGCTCAACCGAAACTCTCCACACACACGCAGATTTCATGCTGCAGCCCCTAACCTTCCGACATAAGCCTTGTCATATTGCTCTAATATCTCCCTCACTCGCACACATGCCGATATGCATGCATGAGCTTGCATACATGTGTTTATTTTTCAGACTCACACTTGCACATGTATCTGGAAATGTCTAAAGCTTTGGACTGTATTAACCCCATAGCTTGTTCGTATTCGCTCACACGCATGTACGGATAAACACTAACATACATGCACATATGTATACACAGACACACACACTTCCTGCATTAAGCCCAGGTTCATATTGCTCCAACGATGCCCAGCTGCAACCAATGAACATTCCAGTTTTCTTCCCTCCCTCCCTCTCTATCATTTCAAATTTCAGCTCTAAGCCTTTAAGAGAGCCAGCAGCCAAATATGGTCAGGCTTGTGTCATGAACTTTGCGCGACCTTCTAAAGCGGCATCGAGATCGTGACCTTTAAGACCCTGCCTGAGGCTGAGCTTAGGCACCGTCCTGCATGATCACGGAAAGAAGTCAGACGTGCGCGTGCGTATATGCACGCTGTCGTGGGTGAGTCCGAGAGAGAAAGTTCATGACCTGTGACTTCTAAATGTTTCTGACCATTTAGCGGCTTGTTTTACTGTTTGTGCACCCTCGCTTTATGGCTTCCTCATTCTCTCCAGCAGTTATTTTTGTGGTCTCATTTTTTTTCTCATTTGCCATTTGATTGCTTCTCCTTAGTGCTGTAAGAGATTTAGGAAACAGGACTGAACAGTAAAGTGTGTGTATGTGTATATATATATATATATATATATATGGATGGAGATTTTCTAACGGTCTTTGATGGGTCTACATCTTGTTTTTGCCACCTGAAGCCACAAACAAATAGTAGGTAACACTAGTGCGTGTGCCAAGATGTGGCCTGAGGTGGATACCATAATGATGCCAAAGATCCTCTGAGCCACCTGAGTTTTATTGATGTTTCCTTCTCATGTATTCCCCTCTGAAATTGTGGCAAGCATCAATGTCATGATGACGCATGGAAGTATACCAAACACGAGCGGTTAGAAAAAAAATCCACCTGCGTCCAAAAAAAAAAAAAAAATACTAGTCTGTCTCCGTGCTTGATCTGAGCAGGTACAAAATGAAGGCCCTTTTTCTCTGTGTCCAACTCTCTCTCTCTCTCTTCTAACATCCATCTCTCCGGCAGAGCTCCACCAGTGCTGCTGTCATCTCCTGTTTATCTAATTGGGGTTCAGAGGACTTGAGTGCGGCAGGGAGGAGGGACAGGAGACAGAGACGAGGAGGAGGAGGCAGAGGGACAAAGAGACTTCAGGAACAGGCCTATCAGGAGCCTGAACAGGCGGGAAGATTCCAAACAAATTCAACTAATTTGTTTGGTGTGCTGGTCTGCACCGTCAGGAAGCGTGGAGGGTGGAGCCCAGTCTGCAGTGTTAAACCTACTGAAGGATTCTTGTTGCCCTGGTTTACAGTCCTGGTAAGTCCACCAATGACTTTAAATCAGGGATTCATAGCCTTGCCTGCAATACAGTATACAGTATGTACATACGACGATTCAATTAAAAACAAATACACCAACAGAGAAATGTAATCACTAATCTCTGGCTCTAAAGTTAATTCCAAAACCCCTGGTCTTACAATGTGAGCAATGCTAGTGTAAGTATATATTTGATGGTTTTGTTAGTTATAATCCTAGTTAACTCTGCTGTGAGCAGTGTCTACATGTCTCTGCAAGAATTCTCTTTAAACAGAAACATTAAGGCTCTAAAGAACTCGCTTCTTAACTGACAAAGTACCGAGCCTGTTTTGCAACATGTTGCTACATCGTGTGTGTGTGTGTGTGTGTGTGTGTGTGTGTGTGTGTGTGTGTGTGTCTCTTGCTCAATAGTAATTTATAACCGATGCTGATGGGACTCTGGGATGGCCCTTAAGAAACAACACCATTTGGAGTCATGTTGGGACTGCAACACAGGGAGCACACCTAAATGATTACAGCTTTATTCTGCTTCAGTGTGTCATGACCTGTCCAGAACCACCGCTAACTGTTGCCATTAGGAAAGAGGGAGTTCACACCAGCAATTATTAGCAACATGTCTATTGAAGTATCAAATGTAAAGCATCCAAATGGTGGCATGAATTAGTTTTTGTTTTTAATTGCCGGCATTCTTTCGCTCAATTAGCCCATCTTGTATGTATGTGCATCCTGTTTGGCATACCGATATACTTCCAATTAAAAGCGTAGAGTATAGGTTGTTGCTACTCCCAAGAAAACAGCATTCCTTTCTCTACCAAAGTG